ATTCTTTTTTAATGTAGGGCAATGGAGTTTTATTTATTCCGAAACTCAATTCCTATTATGAGACGTCCTAGTTTCTAATTTAAAATCGAGATAAAACAGCCTTTTCTCGTGGTTAATTGCTCGCCAGTCCAGCAACAATGATTCTATAAGGATGTTGAGTATGTTCCACCCTCTACTAACTCCATTACGTGAAACAAAACGTTTGAACAGATCAATTTCTATTTTAATCAAGTATTGTTACTTATAAGTTTTTATATCTAGCGAATGAGAGAAATAGAAAAATCAAACAAATTAATTGGTAAAGGAAACAATAAAAAAAACAGATAATAGTACAGTGGGTAATTCATTTAATGATGAGCTATTAAGACACGAGTATAGGAATTATTACGAGAGCCTTGGCAAGGGTCTTAATAAAATATAAGTTGCATACACTATTTTTTCTATGTCCATTAAGTCATAATAAAGAAAAATAAATATCTATTTAAATTTTCAAAACTAAACACCCTGTATTTCAGACATAAGTAACATTTTATTAAATCATATTTCGTGTAATTCGCTTATTTTTAAGCCGGGAATCTTTAGTAGTTGTATGACCCATTCTTAATGGTACACCTTGTATAATTACTATAGTAGGAGCACACATTTTAGTTTACTTACGACCGTGCTAAAATAACTAGCTCACCCGGTATATTTTACAGAATTGAATCCCGCAAAATTCCTCGTATAACAAATGGCGTTTTTAACTCTTCAAAACCATATTTTTGTTTTTTGTTTCTGATTAACTATTATTATTTTATGCCCAATAATGTGCAGTTGTTCTGAATGTCATTCTTTTTAAACCACCCTGTATTTATTATATCTCTTAGAAACCCCCAGAGTCAAATAAATAACGGTATCTATCAAAAATGATTAAAGAAATGTCTTAATCCATCTCTGTCAATCTTAGTTAAGAAATACAGGACAAATAATAATACACTTATTGACCTCAATAATTTCGTTCAATTGGATTTGATCACTCCTACGGCTGCAGTTTTTCAACGATTGAATTTTCTTCTTATATCAAGATTATGGTTTAATTTAAAATACTCAATTGTAAGATGAAAATTATCATTGCGTCATATCGATACCTTACCGGCAGAACATCGTAAGCGACAATATTGGCTCAATTGAGATTATTGCATTATAGGGACTATCGTATATGTAAGATTGTATTGGCAAATTATCGTTCCCAAAATTAAACGTATAATATTACCAAAAACGTAAAATTTACTTATCGTAAACGACATTTATTAATCTTCACAATCATTTATATCCTACGAAAATATCGTATGGCTATTAAGAACCGGTAGAATATCGTAACGTCAAGTCCCGTACAGCTCCAAAAAAAGTCCGTCAGCTAGGTAGAATTTTCTCTAAGCATAATTTCAAAAATTTCTATAATTTATGTCTAACTACTGATTGGAATGGTCTTTCTGAAGATATTGACTCTAAATTTTTAGACTTCTTAAATAAAATAATTATGTGTTTCAATACAGCTTTCCCCCTTCGCCCCATTAAAACTAAATGTCATAAATCTTGGACAACTAAAGGAATAAGAACACCATCTAAAAATATGAGGTCACTCATGTATATTAAAAAGTACACAGATAATCCCCTAATATTAAACTATATCAACAACTACAGAATATTGTATCGGAAAATCACCAAATCTGCTAAGAAAAACTATTACAAAAATCGCATCGCAAGAGCTAAAAACTCCTCCAAAGAAACCTGGTCTATAATAAATGACTTAAGGAATAAAACCCGTTCTTCAAACAGTGTAAATCCTAGCCCAGATGAACTAAACAATTATTTCGTAAATGTAAGTAAAAATATCAAATCTAACATAGCTCCGAGTCAGGATGCTCTCTCCTTCCTCCTACCTACTAAAAGGATCACTGAAAGTTTCTTCCTAAGACCAGTAGACAAGCATGAACTAGTGCAAACCATAAACAACATCCAAAATAAATTTTCCTGTGGAATTGATGGCCTGTCCACCAAAATATTTCTAAATATACCGGATGTAGTAATCAACATTTTAACTTCACTGATTAATGAATCCTTTGAAATTGGTCTCTTTCCTAACTGTCTAAAAACAGCTATAATAATCCCACTTCATAAAGGTGGCGACAAAACCAAAACCTGTAACTATAGACCTATCGCGTTATTGCCTACCTTATCGAAGATAGTAGAACGGCTAATGAAAAACCGTCTTTTGCCCTTTCTTTTCAAGCATAACATCCTCACAGCTCATCAGTATGGCTTTCTACCTATAAAATGCACTAGCGACGCAATGTTTTCCGTTCTTAATGAAATATACACATCACTTAATGATAAACTTTTCACCGCTTCAGTATTTTGTGACTTCGCAAAGGCCTTCGATTGTGTAAATCATGATATTTTAATTAATAAGTTACAAATTTATGGCATACGGGGTTCTCCTTTACAATGGTTTAAAACTTACCTAGAAAATAGAAATCAACAGGTGCGGGCGAATGGTGAGGATTCTACAAATCTAGCAATAAGCAGTGGAGTACCTCAAGGATCAGTATTAGGTCTAATTTTGTTTTTATTATTCATCAACGACATCACAGACTTAAGAATAAGTGGTAGAATTACTTTATTTGCTGATGACACCAGAACCTGGAATAATTCTAACATGCAGACATTACAATCTATCATAAGTGAAGATCTAGTGACTATTAAGTCCTGGTCTGATTCGAATGGACTTTGTTTCAACACCAGTAAAACTGTAGCATTGTCTTACAGAGGTACTTTACAACCTATAACTTTAAACAATAATCTGATCCAAACGGTGACTTCAATCAAGTTTTTAGGTCTTTATATAGACGATTCTCTAAAATGGTCTGCTCATATAGATACCTTAGCAAAAAAATTATCCTCCGCATGTTTTGCCATTAAATCGGTTTCTAAAGAGCTGACTCCTTCTACTGCATTAATAACCTACTTTTCCTTATTCGAATCTCACCTTCGCTATGGTTTACCTTTCTGGGGTTCTTGTAGCTTATACCTTTTCGAATCTATTTTTAAACTGCAAAAAAGAGCAATCCGCTATGTATTTGCTTTAAGTAGTAGGACACATTGCGAAAATTACTTCAAAAATTTCAAAATTCTAACCCTTCCTGCTCTATTTATTTTCGAATCCGTCTGCTTAGTTCGCAAGCACATTCAAAATTTATCCGAAAGACCGACTCGTAGATATCCTACAAGAAATTTAGAGACTGATGTTTATTTAACAATGCCCACTTCTGACCTATTAAAACATTCCATTACCTACAATGCCAAAAAATTGTATAATAACCTTCCGATGCAATTAAAATCTATAAATACATACGATAAGTTCCGAAGACTTAAAGCTTTTCTTCTAGAAAGACCATATTACACAGTAGCAGAATTTTATAACGTACCTTAGACATTTGAGTTCCACATACAATGGCATTAATTAAATAATTAAATATTAAAGTTTAAATTTAAATTTAAATTTAAAAATTAAATTAGAATAATTATAATGACGGATATTGCATATCCATTGCAATTGTTATTCCTATTTTGTCTGTTTGTTTCTGTTTGTTTTTTCTGCTGTTTAGTTATTTTTATAATATGTTTAGTATTTAAGTTACACACTTTGTCTATAAAATTTTTGTAAATTTTTTACGACAATAAAGCATATCTCTCTCTCTCTCTCTCTCTCTCTCTCTCTCTCTCTCTCTCTCTCTCTCTCTCTCACGTGGTACTGTTATTTGTCACTTACGATAGACATTCCCATTATTTTGCATTTTAGTGTTGGTGAAGTGAACGACCAGAAAGGACGTAAGTAACATTTTTTGTGATTTTCTTGATTTAGAACCAAAAATTTGCATGTTTTAGTGCTGTTTTGTTATAAGAGTGTATTTGGAATTTGCTTGTAGGCTTAAAGGTTTTTATTTTGCTTCAATTACCAACATACATTACAATAAAAGGTTAATTTTGGCGATATTGGTAAATTCGGTAACTTCCCTGTCTGATTGAACGAATAATTTATAATAGTATATTATGCAACGATCATGTAATGATGGTTATTAATACACGAGCATTAACCGGGATACGAAACGAGCCAAAGGCGAGTTTCGTATGGTTTATGCGAGTGTTTTAATAACCATTACATGAGAGTTGCATACGCTATTTTTTCTACACCCGATAAATAATCAAGACCTATAAATATTCTATTTATATTGGCATTGAACACAATAACAGTAATTACTCGTATTTCTATAAAAAATTCTACAAAATTGTAATTAATGGTATTACCTTGGGTATTGGTATTACCACAGATTTTTGGGGCAAAATATTTTGTACTGCATTTTCTCCTTTCTCCGATATGTGTGGAGGAGTCTTCTATATCGCTGATATCAGACATTTTAATATTATAATTATCGAAGTTTAGCTATCTACGAAAATTTAATACGTTTTGACAACTAAAACAATTACATAGGAATTTAGGACAAACGTCAAACATCATGCTTGATTGAAAAATTGTAGGTTTCTATTGATTAAAAATCTGTATCATAATGAAAAATCTGTATCATAATGGGTATCATTATGAAACGGATTATGGGCATATAAGTGCATTATTATAATACGGGTGTAGAAAAAATTATATTATTCTTGTTAGTTTATTTACTTTTATACAGGGTGGCCCAACCTTCACACAGCACTATGTAGTATATAAACAGGGGTAAAGTTTGTTGTTACACCATATTATTCAAAAACAACAACGTATGTATTTAGGATTATTATAACATGCACATTTTAAAATACGTATTTGGTACAGGGTGTCCTAAAAAGTAACTTCTAATAGGTCACGTGAGGTGGCAGTAGAAATATATCTTGTCTACTTACCTGCTTCTAAATAAGCTATTTATATAACTAATTTCTTTCAGGTACCTACTTAATAACTCATAATGGGAAGTCGAGGAAAAAAAATTGTAAGTCTTGTTAAAGAGCAAAATAGTGAAAAATTACAAAACATTAAAAATACAGAAAATCAAGCTCAAACAAAGTTACAAGTTGGCGACATTATTGATGTTGGAGTTTGCTCCAATATCCTAAAAATTGTGAATGTTGAAAATATTGTTGAAATGGATTCCAATAATGAAGTCCTAAACGACCCTGATCTCAAATGTTATTATCTTGCAAACAATAATGATGCCGGTCTTCTAGAAATAGATAATCACAATTTATTGAAAGATCAATTACTTTTCGATAAAAATGGAACCGTTACTGATGAATCAACAGAATTGCCCAAGATTAACCTCGTAGATTATGATTCAAGCTCATCAAATATCGACTTTGACATGTCTACTAAACCTAAAGCTCAAGCTAAAAGTAATCAGAGAAAGTTAAGACGCCGCTCATCAGAAATGTCTTTTAATGAAGGAAAGGAAAAAATATCCAGCGATAGCGAAGAATACTGGAGTGACTTAGAAAAGCAGGTGAGAAAACCAGTTAAGAAAAAGTCAAAGTTAGAGAAACGAAAATCTAGGATGATCGAAAAAAGTTATGGAAAAGGAAAAGCACTACAGCCCAACCCATGCAAAACCAACTGCCCCAATCAATGCACATTAAAATTTCCAGAGGTTGTACGGCAGGATATCCACGAATTTTATTGGGGATTGGGAAACTCACAAAGGCAAAGGGACTGGTTGTTATCCTGCATTAAACAAGTAGGAATCAAAAGGAGAAGACAAGAAGCTGAAACGAGTAGAAGACATACAACTTTCAAATACGTTATTCCTTGGAACGATGTTGAACATAGAGTGTGCCAGAAATTTTTATTAAAAACATTGGATATTTCACAGATGACCCTTAGATATACGAAAAGTAATGCTGTTTCATGTAGAATTAGTAAAACTGACCAGAGACCAGTTCCGAACTAAGACAAAATGTAGTCAACTTTATAATGAAGTTACCGGCAGTTTCTTCTCATTATTGCAGGGCGAAGACCTCCCAAAAGTATTTACCGAGTGAGTTTCGAAACTTGGCTTTTTTGTATAGAATTTTTGTCAAAGATCAGATTAATATTGGTAATAATAGTCATGTTAGTTTTAAAGTTTTTAGAGGGATTTTTCAAAACGAGTTTAATATTGGGTTTCACTTACCCAAAAAAGATAAGTGTGTTATATGTGAACCCAGAAAAGACAAGGATTTTAAAGAAACTGAAAATTCGGCACACGCATACAAAAAGCACCTTGGTTTAAAAGATATTTGCAAAGAAGAGTTTTTAAAAAATCAAAAGAAAGGCCTAAAGGAAGAACATTTTCTTTGTGTTAGTTTTGACCTTCAAAAGGTTCTTAGTACTCCCCATGGAAATAATCTGCTTCTGTACTATGCACGAAAATATTCATTCTACAATTTGACTGTTTACGAAAATGTCACACAAAATGCCTTATGCTATTTATGGAGTGAATGTGATGGCAACAGAGGCTCAAATGAAATTTGCACTACACTCTACAAGTATTTACAACTGAACACGTTTCTTTTCATTGCGACAGTTGTTCTGGACAAAATAAAAACAGAAGTACTCTGGCAATGCTATTTTACTTTTTGGCTGAATCTTCCAAAATAAAGACAATAAAAATCACCTTCCTATTACCCGGACACACCTACATTCCTGTAGATTCAATTCATGGTACTATTGAACGCTTTATTAAGAATCGCATCATATGGGAAACAATTATTGGAAATGCAAGAACTAACCCTAGAAATTTAGAAACCGTTAAACTGTGTTTTACAGATTTTTTAGATTGGAAACAACTGTCCAATGAAGTTCTTCAGCCCAAAAAGTTTAAATCAGTTGAAGGTGAATCGATAAAAATTACTCAGGTACGAAGTGTTTATATTGAAAAGAATAATTCTAACGTTGTTATTGATTATTCATATGATGGTTCAGACATTAAAATAATGAAAATTGCGTTACCTAAAAAGGTTAATTTAAAATCTAAAAGACTGTACAGCAACAAATTATGTGTAACTCCAATAAAAAAAAAGAACTTGGAAGATCTATGTAAGAAAAATGTAATTCCGAGAAAATATCATCAAGAATATTTTAATATGAATACATCAGATAAAATATCTGATGTGCTACCGGAAACGGACCAAGAAGATGAAGTTGAAGAACTGAAAGATCAATAAAATAGTTGTTCTAAAAATTATAACAGGTTATTTATAAAAATAAAGTTTTTATTATTCTCATTCAAATAAAAAAAAACTGTTAGTTTATTTTGATGTTTTTGGTTTAGTTTTCTTTGTGTAGGTATTTAAAATAAAGAAATCTTGCCTTAAGAGGAGTATTTACTTGGCTATAGAGCGGAGCATGCATGGGTTTCGTAGTACCCCCACTTTTAAAGTTTATTTTTGACTTATTCTGAAAGAAAAAAATATGTACGTGTAGGTAAAGGATAAATCTATGCTCCTCTGGAAACACTTTTTTAAAATTTGAAACAGTTTTTTCTAAAAAAAAATACAAAACTCGACTTGTTTTACCCATTTTCTCAATTTTTTTTAGAAAAAACTAAATTTAATTTTGAAAAAGTGGTTCCAGAGGAGCATAGATTTAACCTTTACCTACACACACATATTTTTTTATTTTAAAAATAGTCAAAAATAAACTTTAAAAGTGGGGTACTACGAAACCCTTACATTGCAAGATTTTTCGTCTGGAAAGTGGCGCCTCTGTTAGATTTTTAAGAAATTAATATTTGTGAATGAAAACAATTTATAATATATTTTACTGATGTTTTACGAGGGATGAATAAATTTTACGTATTTGTACACCTTATTTTTTACGTAATTTATTTCTGTAATACTAAGATTGGCATATACATATATTATATGCAAGGGTTTCATAGTACACCAATTTTACGGATTATTTTTTAATTTTACTAAAAGAAATTTTATGTAAGTACAGGTAAAGGCTTAACCCATACCTCTCTGGATTTACTTTCAAAATATGAATCAGTCTCTTTTGAAAAAATCTAAGAAAAGAAACGAAAGCCACCCGATATGGCATGGACCATAAATTCAAAACAAAATAAGATTTGGAAATTTATTTGCAAGTAAAAGTTTTTAAATGTGGACATTTTATTGAATTCGAATTTGATTATGTTGCTGCCAGTCTGGATGGAATTAAAAAAAAAAAAAACTCTATGATAGAGTTAAAATGTCCATATGGAGCTGAAGTGCGGACTGTAGAAGAAGAAATATGCAGTAGAGAAATAACTTTTTGGAAAAAGAACAATTCCATTAAGGAGAACCACTATTGGTATTTTCAAATTCAGGGCTAGCTGCACATAACACAAATGGATTTTTGCATTTTGTGCTTTTGGACTTCTGGAGGAATAGAAGTGGAGAAAATATCTCATATTGACAGCTTTTGAGAAAAAAAGAAACAAAATAAAATTAAAATTTTTTATATGCAATATGTCTTGCCGGAACTTGTTGACAGCGAAGCAATAGAGACATGGAAGTACGAGACAGAATATTAAATAATTCGTGAGAAATTTTGTTTAATGTTTATTAACATAACGCAAGGAATCTTAAATTATTTTGAATATTTTTATTAATTTAAGAATTAAATTTTATTTATTTCTAAAACATGGTAGTAGGCGATCCATTTAAGATATGATTAATGTCTTCTTATTATTATATTACACTATTTTAAATTTAGGATTTTACCAGTGGCAGTGGTAATTGATGATAGGTATATAATTATTATTACACCAAATGTTTTAAAAGGCTACACCAACTAGTGGACCACGCTTTTAAGTCCCCAAATAATAGTTTCAAGATTTTGATTTGGATTAGAAGTTTTACTATACAGGGTTTTGTGTCAAAGCCAAGTCATGTAGGTATTGTAATTGTAATACGTAGATGAGTAACTATCATCAATAGAAATTTAAAATTCAAATATAAATCTTTGTAACGACGTTATTTATAACTTTATTAACTTCATAACGGTCAAAAATGTTAGTTAACTTATTTAATTTTAAATATAAATTGATTTTAATTTTAACTTAGAAATTTTCAAAAAGTTCACTATATTGTTTAGTTGTTGCAACTTTACTGCGCTTAAGTAGCGTTCAGATTAAAATATAAATTTATGAAGCTTAACTGAAAAACAGAAACTAATTCCAAAAAAAGTATTATGGCCAATAAAAAGAATTTTGAATTGTGATATCTGCAAGTCCTTATTTAAAACCTTTAAATTTAATATTATCATTATACAAGAGTTATTTTTACAAATTGATACAAATATCGAACATAAGTCTGTTGACATAAACATTAGTTCCATAATACAAATAAATATATCTCTGTTAAAGAATACTCATAATTTATTTAATATATTCATTTAAACATGTTTTTGTTTTTTGTCTGGATGATATTGAATACTAACTTTTTCTATATAACTTATTATCGACACATTGTGAGATAAAAAAACAGACAATTAATTAAAAGCGTACTCACAATTTCAATGCTATACTGTTTCCCAAATTATGAAAATACTAAAGAATATTTAAAAAAAATAAAAAGCCATTTAAACAATGTGTTAATATCTAGAGAAGAACATCGTACTTCTTTTTTAGAAACGAAAAGTAGTCAAAAATTGTGAAAATAACAACATATTTTTATTTCACAAAAAGTCAATTTTTGTTTTTTATGTAAATCATATCATTTTCAAGGCAATAAAACAGAAGAAAAGTCACCGAATACCGATTTCAAAAAAGTCTATTAGTTTTTATAGGAAATGGAAAGAGAAAGAACGCTTTTTAAACGAGTTAAAATTCTTTACATATTTCGATAACTATAAACGGATTAAGGTATTTTGTACCGTGTTAAAAAATTTAAGAAAATTTTTGAAGAATATTTCTTTTTTTTTAAATTAGTAAACTTTGACAAACATATACAATATTCTAAAAGATAAATCACATTTATGTGATTATACAAAACTTCAATTTATTTTTCTAAAATAATATGGATTGTCCTCTAAAATATATATAGTGGCTCGCAAAAAGTCTGCTTTTTATGTTACTTTTTTCAGAAAATGTTATTCCTGATAAAACTTAGTGTTTAATTAAACCTAAAACTTTATTTATTCAAAAAAATTCTGTACCATAAATATAAATTTGGCTGCACAGTGAACTAGGTACTCTTCTAGGAACCGAACCCACATTTTTACATATAAGATTAATTTAAGAAGATGTATATAACTCCACATAGTAGTTTTTTAGTTATTACAAATAATATAGATTATTATATCCTTTTTAACCTACTTCAAAAATGAGGTTTTCAATTCGTCTGTATATTTTTTTTTATGTATGTTCAGCGATAATTCTTTAACACAATGTCCGATTTAAATTATTCTTTTTCGCTGGAAAGGGGGTACTTCCGGGATGGTCCCATATAAATTTGTTCAAAATCTAATAATTGGGTCAATGGGAAAATCCTCAAACTTTTCATTTTTTATGTATGTTTAGCGATAATTCTTTACCACCTCGTCCGATTTCTATAATTCTTTTCGTTAGTAAGGGGGTACCTCAGGGGTGGTCCCATATAAATTTGGTTCAGATGTGGTGATGGCATCTGCACGATTTTAAAGTCGGTTTTTTAAAATTACTTTCAACACATCTTACGTAAATTAAAAGTTTAATAATTTGGTGCTTTCTTTATGCGTCGTTTTATGATTTCTTTTTGTTTGAGTACAGATAATTATTATTATTATTACTGGCAGTTTATTTTAAATCATTAAAATAATATTTTGTTGATCCAAAAAAGGCAAAAAAAGCCATGTCACATTCAGTGTAATAATAAAAATTAGATATATAAATATAGTATATTATGTACCAACAGACTAAACTTTCACTTTCAATCTCGCCTTTTGTCGTAAAAAACTTTTAAATTTTTACCAGTGACGTCCGTGCCGGGTTTGAACTGAATATTTTTGAAAAAAAATATGGTGCGCCACTGCTTTTTCTAAAAACCAAAATTATCTTTAAAATTCTTATATATTTTGGAGCAAATTTGGTTTATGACGTACTTTCGTACGAAGCACCCTTTTCGGGTAAGAAAATGAAAACCAGTATATTGAAACTGCTTTTGATATTTTGTTGAAATTTGGTAGGAACCTACCATGAGTGGAAACACTTTTTTGGGAAAAATATCTAGAGTGATAAGAAACTTATGATAAAATAGTAATTTTTTTTCTTAAAACTTTAACACCCAAAGGATTCACACCCTTAAGTATCGGCACTCAATAAATAAATACCCTGTATTAATTGATATTACCTTATTCGAACCAATCGTCTATTTTTTCGTTATTTGTATTTATATTTCACACCTCTATACTCTTAAATGTAATTTAATCTAACTAAACCTATTCACTAAATTAAAATATAAAAATAATGTAAAACCCTCTAATAAATCGAACTGCGTTATAACAATATCTCGCAATGCACCGAGAAAAGCAAATACGATTCTGGTTCCCCTAATTTAGGTAACTCTGACTCACTCCGTGTTAGGATTTTTCGGTTCCTTTGTCTTAATTTCGCGCGTTAGAGTTTGGAATACGTATCCCTCGTATCTACAGGCAATTGTTAAAATTATGAATGAATGCGGATTTTGTTTAGTCTCGGAAGTAATTTTGTAGTATTTAGGCTCCACCCTAAAGTTGTAATTTTTATACCTACTAAACTACCGTTGCCCCGCAGGTCTTTCAGTTTGTAATGTAAATTTTCCTCTTAAAGAATAATTATTGTTTTAATTATTATTATCAAAAGTACAAAAGTATTACTGCCAAAACGTCGTATGAAACACAAAGTATCTTAAGCGACTGTCACAGCAAGATTATAAAGAAATTCGAAAATAATATTTTATTTATTAAAACCTCATATTTAGAAAAAGTGGAATCCAAAATTTTGTAAGGTTATAACAACAATTATTGTAATTATCCTAAAATCCTGTCTGTTGTAAAATTTGCTCAATGTTGTATACGATGTTTTGCCGGTAAGGTATCGATATACGTTTTTTTAATGTATTAAGTGCAATCGTGTTGTTCCCAATCATTGTTCTCGTATAATTTTAGCACTTTTGTGTGTGATTTACTTTTAAAACACGACATCCAAAACAAAGGATGGGTC